GTGGCTGTTTTGCCTGTGATGAAAGATACAGGTGGGTTTTTCTTCCAGCGTGCTGTGCCACCCTCCCCCTCCCTCCCAAAGAAGTGTAAAAAAGTTTGTAAAGGAAGGGGAGTTTGGCTGGGGAGGCTTTTGCTTGGTGCAGCGCTTAGAAACCTGAGATGAGCCCGGTGCTTTCAGTCCTCGCTGCCGCCGCCGTCCCGGCTCGGGTTCTGGGACGCTTCTGGTGGCTTCAGCCCACTCAGGGTTGGGTCTGTCTCATCTACTCGTACCATGGACATTTCTGTGCATAAACTTCCTCTTTTACGTAAGAGGGGCTGCCTTGACTTTCAATATACTAGATGAAAGTAGCTTCTTTTTCAAGAGCATGGGTTTGCCACACTTATATTTTCCCATTGAGTCAATAGTACAGCATTCAAACATGTGAGCTTCATCACATGTGCTCCGTACTTAGGTTGTTCTCATTTCCATGTCTGTCTGTGTCGTGAACATGAACTGCTGAAAGTAAGTCTGCTGATCTGCATACAAGAGATTCTTGCACAGACAGGAGGTTTTGGGAGCTGGGAGATACCCAGACTTCTGAACCATAGAACCTCCTCTCAGTCTTCTAGCTTAGCTCTAAAGATCTCTCTGGATCTCTTGAAATCTTGCAGTGTGGCTTGGAGCATGGAAAAATAGTCCAGAACAGATGGGAATTCTGACTTTACGAGAAGTCCCACGAAGACCACCGTCTTTCAGCTGTGTTTTAAAATAATTGTTTCAGATGATAACTGGTTTTGGATGTTTTCTGTTAAAAATAATTCAGTTTCTCATCTGGAAGATGAGGTTAAATGTATGTCAACTTAAAAATACACTATTACTGTCGTATTTATTTTAGCATGTCAAAAAAGTGATTCTTCCTTCATAAAATTTCATCTGGGATTGTCTTTGAAATGTTATGTAAGGGGGTTGGTTTGGATGGTTTTTGTTGGTTTGTTTTTTAATTTAAATTTTCATTAGAAATACAAGTTCTTAAATAAAGGAAAACAACTATTTCAAAATAGATTCTTATGTAAAGTGAAGAATGAGTTGATTTAGGTTGTGTGGCTATGTAAATATAAGAGGGTTTTTTATAGCTCCTTTATATCCCAAGAGAACAATGTTGATATGATACGTTTTTGGGGGTTTTTTAGTACTATTAAGTTTGATTTTATTTATTTTATGCATTTTCTTCAGATTTTAAATATTTAAAGTGAATTAAGCATCATCTTTGGCATGTTGCACAATGTTGCAAGAGAAGATGGTAAAGAATCTCCCAGCTGGAAACCCGTTAAGCTAATGTGTTCAATAAGTTATTTGGTAGAAAAGTGAGAAAGGAAATAAACCAGCTTCACTGCTCAAACTAATGCATGGTGTCAAGTGTGAAAAGAAGCCTCTCATTCTCAGTATTAAAGCCTGTGCTCCCAGAAGCAGATCTAACATCTTCTGAAACCTTATGTTTTTCCAACAGACTACTTCAGAGAAAATACAAGCAGTGATGGGTGTCTGTGTTGCTGTATCTTTCAACTTTTACTGTCAGAACCAGTTAACAGATGCAGGATTTAATAGGCGGTGACATTAAACAAACTTTTGGCCCATTTCACCTGGCCATATGTTTTGTATCACTTTGGGTATGTTTTCCATTCCCTGTCAACTCTGACAACTTCAAGGGGACAAACTGGTGCTCATTTATTTGCCTTGGATGGAATCTTAGGGTTTTTTGTTTTTGTTTTTTTTTTGTTTGTTTTGGGGTTTTAAAACATGCAATAAGCAGCAGAATTTTGGCAATTCTGCAAGCTCCTAGCTTCTTACTAGGAATTGGGAGGGTTCAGGCTGTCCTTCTAGGTCATGGAGCCCAAGAGAGTGCAGAGTGTCACCTGTAAGACAGGGTTTATAGAGTTCCAGAGTAACCCCTATTAAACCAAGCTATCTCTCTGGAGGAAAAAAAAAAAAAAGAAAATCAAGTGAACACAAAAGTATTGAGCACAAAAGCTCATCTACAAGTGTTTTTCAACAATAATGTGTATTATTCAGTTAAATGCTAACATTAAGTAAACTTAGGCCCATTCTTCAAGGGATTAGTATGGGAGTTTAGAAGCTTTTTTGAAATCTGAATTTAGTTTTTACCTCATCCGTAAGTGTAAAAAGCACTTAGCACTTTATAAATGAGCTCCTAGAAAGAGACTTACTCCTACATAGCCCAGATCTTCAGACATCTTCCTCTGTCTCCTAAATTCACCCAAACGTTTTTGAAGTTTATCTTTGTGCATCATGTTTGTCATCTCTTGATATAGAGTAATATATATAGAGTAATATAGTTTTAAAATGTGTCTCACCCTGAACTTTCAGGACCTGCTCATCTCATCTTGCCTGTGCATTAAGGTATAATTTCCCAATACACCAGGGCAGAACTTGCCCAGCTAAAGCTGTGTGAGTGATGGTCAGTGGAGAAATGACCTGGACACCAGGCTGGGCCTGCACACCTCATCTGACACCACCACACCTGGTGTGACACTGCTAAATTTTAGTTAGCTGAGTCCCATCCAGGGAGTAAATGTCCTTTTATAAGCACTATGAAACTTTTGATATGTTTTTCAGACTGCAGGATGACTGTATAATAGATCCCATCCAGGGAGTAAATGCCCTTTTATAAGCACTATGAAACTTTTGATGTTTTTCAGACTGCAGGATGACTGTATAATAGACCTGCAATTTATTAGTTATATTTTGAACTAAATTTTTAATCATGGGATAATTTGTGCTGGAACAGACATTTAAAGGTCATCTAGTATAACCCCCTGCAATAAGCAAGGACATCTTCAACTCAATCAGGTTGTTCAGAGCCCTGTCCAACCTCACCTTGAACACTTCCAGGGATGAGCAGCTAACACCTCTCTGGGCAACCTGTTCCAGTGTTTCACCCCACCTTGTTGTAAAAAACTTCTTCATTATCTTCATTATTGACCCTAAACTGGCCATCCTTTGGTTTTAAACCCTTACCCCTTTGCTACGGGCTCTGCTAAGCAGTTTCTCCCCATTTTTCTAAAGTCCCCTTTAAGTACTGAAAGGCTGCAATGAGGTCTCTCCAGAGCTTTCTCTTCTCCAGGCTAAACAGCCCCAACTCTTTCAGCCTGTTTGCACAGGAGAAATGCTCATAAGGTATTTTTAAAATTTGGTTTTTGTTCCACTCAATTTTCACTCTGTTCTTTTTAACACTATATGCAATTTAGAGTATATTGATGGTTAGACCCAGTTAAGTTTCCTTCTATAACCTGCAACCAGAATTGGGTAGGAGATTTTTTTTTTTTTCAAAATTGTAGGAAGAGGACGTAAAAAACTTCTTTCTCTTAGATATGCTACCTGGGACCCTTTCCAGCATAAATACCATGTATCGCCTAAAGGGAGAGGAAAAATCAGATAGCATCAGTGTTTCAGATTTCCAATGACCAAACAGTAGAAGGTCTGTGAAGTTTACATAATTTGCTCACCAGAAAAAAACCTTAAGACAGTCTGTATATGTTAGACTTCACAATCACTGCAGCATTTAGCACAGTTAGTGAAAGCAGAGAAATAGAAAGACGAAATAGTTACTCTAAATGCTTACCATGACGCAAAGTTATAAAAGAAAAAAGCAAGCAACCTCTGAACCACCAGTAAACTGAACTCTTAATTTTCCAGTTTTTCAATACATATTTTTCTACAAGACATTTTCCAGACAACAACAGTTAGGAGTAATATAGGAGATGCTCCATTTTAACATGTGTGCAATCATTCTAGGAGTACATGGCACATGAAAGAGAAGAGTTCATATTTCTTTAGTCCAGTAAGCCATGGGTATCATGCATTTTGCACCCAGAGGAGTGGAAATTTATGTGTGTATATATATATATATACACACACATCTCCACTGTTATGGAAAATTCTGTGCAGAATTTGCCTGCAACCACAGAGAAGGTAGGCTATGTAATTGTGAATCCACAGTAAACACTACTGTTTCACAAAACACACAAGCAATGTATTCACTGCATGTGGATAAAATTTACACCTGTGATAGGAGAGATGTGAGGCTTTGGTTGTCTGGCTGCTTTGTAAATAATAAAGGAAGACATCTGTTCACTGCTAAATGTGGGAGGAGCGATATTGTTATCACAGATCTGCAAACCTTTGTGTGCACATGAGAACTTGAGGGGCTGCATTTGATTTTTTTCTTTCTGGGTAAAGAAATACCTTCTCCTAAATTTGTCATCATTTCAATTAAGGTCGAGCCAAAAATGAAACTTCACTTGGTGTACATTGACTTTATGTGGAGGAAGACACAGTTCTTCCTCTGGGAACCTGATGCAAAATATATGTTTTGCCATGAAGATCTTTGCTAAGAAGGTGCAAACGACCTTCTCCATGCTAAACTGTGAGCTAGGGAAAAATTTCTTAAAACATCCAAGGAAATGTAAACAAACTGATGTTTCTGTTAAAAATCAGAGTAAAAACTGAAAAGAATGAGAGATATTTGTTACAGTTCAAAACAGGAGGAACTGTTAGTAAATTATGTACCTATTTTTTGGTTTTTGTGTGGAAACAGCTATTTGGTTTTAACCATATGTTTTTTCTGTGTTTTCAGAAAGACACTCACTGTCAGAGGAGAGGAGGGTAGCTGTCATTGATAGGGCTGTCCATCTGCTCTGAAGGAGGATTCCATGCTGAAGCAACATTTTAAGACACCTTCCATTCTGAACATCAAAAAAGATAATCTAATATTATCCTGGGTTTAAACAAGAAAGATGAATTTGAGGTGATTATTCACTTGGTTCTGTTGCCCTGGAGTTACTGCAGAACAGACCCCTGGAAAGACATAGTGCAGGAAAATAGTTCTGTACTGCAATACAGTGTTTCACCTGCATAACCATCTAAGAGATATCTCATCTGAGAAAAGATCACAAGGCTCCTGAGGGGATTTAATCTGTGATGGAATGACTCCTGGGAAATTGCTTCAGCAAAGGGCACCCAGCATCTCTGCCCTCACTGATCCATGACAAAGTCCAAAATGAACCACTCTTGGATGTATAACCTGAGCTTTGGTGCACCTGCACATCCTGTTGAGCCAAGGGCTGGACTCTCACGAAGTGGGCACACAGTAGTGGCTGTTTTTCTTGGATTAATCTTGTTTTTTGGTTTCTTGAATAACTTGATTGTCCTCATCCTCTTCTGCAAGTTTAAAACCCTGCGTAACCCAGTCAACATGCTTCTCCTGAACATCAGTGTCAGTGACATGCTAGTGTGCATCTCAGGCACTACCCTCAGTTTTGCATCCAACATCCGTGGCAAATGGATTGGAGGGGACCATGCTTGTAGGTGGTATGGCTTTGTCAATTCCTGCTTTGGTAAGAGTTCAGTGATGATTCTTTACTATTCTTTTTAGCACTGGTACACGAAGCAACGTGATTAGGCAGTTAAATGCTCTTCTGTGGTGAACAGAAGGATACTTTTATTGCTTTGTTATGGTCAAGCACAAGTCACCTGCATAGTTTAATACATCTTAAAAAAAGACTTTATGAAAGAGTAGCATAGATCTAATAAACATTTCCTAACATATCTCATTCTTCAAAATTACTTATTTCTTAAGAGCTAAAAATGGAATCTAAAAAAAGGCAAGCCACTGGAGAGAGTTTGATTAAATGTATGAACATATGTAATACTTCCCTTTTTTCAGGAAAATCTGTGCCATTGCTGAACTACAGGTCCCTCAGTGAGGTTTCTGTCATGAGCAAAGCCTCCTGAAAATACTATATTTACCATTTTTAATTATCTCTCAATCTATAATATGAATTACTCATGTTCCAGATAGTGAGTTCTCATCATTAGATGATTTCTGTTCTGCAAAGCAAAATGTTTATTTTAGACTTGCAGGCTTGCGGCTTCAGTAGAAAATTAAGTTGCAGGAGTAGATTTGTCAGAAGCGATAGGAAAGTATTCAGTGTTGCTGTCCTGTTCAGACTACATTTTTTTGCAGCCATCTTTTGCAGCACTAGATATAAGTGCTTTACCTGGATTTCTTTTAATTATTGAAAGAAGATGAACAAAGGGACAATGAACAGTCAGAGGGCAGCCTTCATCTCTCCAAGGATTAGGCCTGTTGCTTGAAGATGCCTGTTGCATCACCAAGCAGTGACCCTTTCTTCGTGTATTCCTACATTCATAAAAAGATCCACTAAAGCATGAACTGGCCTGTGGGTTCATGTCTAGATGTGATCCTTATCTAACCCAGACCAGGGGACTTGGCACAGCTCCTCTTGCTCTGCATCTTCACTTTGGTGCCTTCAGGCCAAGAGCACAGGACAAACGCATTCCTGGGTCTTCTCCAGCCCTGGACTGCCGCACCTCTTGTGTAGGCCCTTTGACCCAAGAAGTGCTCCCACAGCTCTTTATGTAGAATCAGGTGGTGAATTCAAACACATGTTCTCTACCTGAACTAGAAACTCTTTGCTACTTCCACTGATGTGGTCTCTGGTACCTGTCCCTTGCTCAAATGTGTACTCCACTCATGACCATTAACTCATCCTGGCAGCTTCCTCTGGGAAACTGTTGCTTTGCCCAAAGTGAAGTCTCAGGAGTTAGTAATGCTGTGTAATATAAGAGCACTTTGGCCATCCAAAAGTAAACTTTACGGTCAACAGTACCTTGGCTTGTTTTGGTAGGTAGTTTTCAGTTTGGTCTGTGCTGAGCAGAATGGCATGTCTTCCTTCAGGTTTCATTTCCATTTTTGTGTGTTTTATATATTCCTGTATTTCTGTAAGTAGCTTTCTCAGGCAGAAAGAAGTAGGACTGATTTTTTTCTCCGTACTTTGAGCTTTCTTTTTATTATTTACCAGTGGGTGGGGGGAATAACATTTGAAGAGAGAGGGGAAAAAGAGGTGGGTGTTCAAGATCTTAGGGAAAAAAGGTATGTTAAAGGTGCCCTTTTGAGCCTGCTGGCTTCTGTCTGGATCCATGTGAGTTACCATCCCATTGACTGTGGAATTGAACCTGCAAATGGGTAAGTTTCTGCCAGGGTGTTCTGCTTGTGGAATAATTTTTCAAAGTCAGAATATGAATTGGATGCAATCCAATGCAATCCAACCCTCTTGCAAATCTGCAAGAGTGCAGATTTCTGTGCTATTGTGACAGCTGTTTTTATGTGATAGTTTCTGCTATGATTCTTAAAATTGATTAGATCATCAAGGAGTACACAAGCAAACAAAACAGCAAAACTCAAAATGCCAAAGGTGACCTGAGCTCCTCTAAGTGATGTTAGTGCTGTCAGTGGGGTATGCTGGGAAGCTGAGGCAGCCTAAATGCAGGTAGTTATTAAACTGTGAATAGCTCATGTGAAAGTCTTGCAGCACTCACACGTGGTCTTTCATTAGTGTCTATAAATGACATAATGAAAATTTTGCTTGCAGAATTATAATTAAAAAATGTTGGTTAGTGTATAGGATGAGTAAAACCAAATAACAGTAGCAGGTTGCCTAACATTTATGATTTTACAAACAAATTTTGTCAGCTGATAAAGATAATTATGCATCCTTTAGCTATTCCTAAAAAAATCTCATACATTTATTAACTAAAAAGTCACTTTCCCTCCTTGGTACCTCATATGTGATTTTGGCCCATCAGAGATAATAGAAAGGGCACTAATGCTCAAGATCCAGAATAGGGATATGTAATAGGAAAGGTAATTATGATAAACTAGAGTTCAACATCAGTGTTGGTAAGAATAAATGCTTCAGTATTCATACCTGTTTGGGTTTTTTTTGGTCTTGGGATAGATGATCCTACTAGGATAAACATCAGTATAGGGACATACTGTTAATGGTGTTAAGTATTAATGATATTAAGTGTTTAGGGATATGGTTTTGGGATAATTATGGTGGTGCTGAGTTGCTGGTTGGACTAGATAATCTTGAAGATCTCTTACAATCTTGATGATTCTGTGATGCTCTAAGTTCACTGGCCCCACTAGAATTGCACTTTCTTGTACTAAATGAAGGGATGCCCCTTTTTTTTTAAACTGCAATATTTTTCTAAATCGTGAAGAAACTTTAAGTGGGCAACTAATCTTCATGACTTGGGGATTATTTAATGATGTGTAAGGTACATCTAAGCCAAATTCAAACTGTTAAAATATTTATAATGTTAATATTTATAAATGCGGCTCGTTCTTGCAAATCTTCTAGCAGGACTGTATTTTTAAGGTTGTTTTTACCCTCTTCCACTTGTTTTATGATACTGTGAAAGCCTCCTTTGTGTTTTAAACCAAATGGAGAGTGAAGGTGTTATCTTTCAGGTCTGTGGCTTGGATGAAACCTGAGGGAGTGAAAGTAGAAAGCTGAGATTTGTTTCAAATGTAAACTCAAGGTGAGATATCACTTTTTAAAAAAATCACATGCCTGCGGGGTGATCTGGAAAGCAGCTCTGATTCCCCTCCCAGCAGTGTTGACAGTGCCATGTAAGTTGATGTCACTTGGTGGGAAACTGAGTAAGCTGTTTCATTGCCTACCCCAGGCACTGAAAAACCATGACCCCAGAATACCCACCAGGGGGTTGCCATGAGCACAGTGGAGAAAAATTATGGACAAAGTGTTGTTTTTTGGTTTAATTACTTGCTGCTATCCCTATATCTGCTTTGTGATTTCAAACCATATGTGGAAAGCACAAGGATTGGAAGCTAATGGGAAGTGCAGATGCTGATCAATAAGCATGTAATGGGGATTTTAAGAAGAAAATTAAATACTGTGAGATCTGCTATGGAAGTATGAGCTGTTGGGTCGTGATTTGGGGAAGCACCAGGAATGGTGCTAGAGGAGAAACAGCATGGTCTGTTCCCAGAGTAAATGATTTTACCCTGGTGCTCGTCCTTGATTGCAGCTCTGTTAAGTAGGTCACTGCAGTGGAAATTGCACATGTCACTGAGTTGGGGAAATGGATGGATTTTTAAAATTTGCTGCCATTACACACCACTTCATCATGGTTCAACAGGCTTATGGTTATACATTTAAGCAAACATGGAAAGTGACACAGGGGCAGGATCTATTTTCACAGCTGAACTCTCAGTAAACTTTGCAGGCAAGGTGAAAAAAGGATGGTTAAATATATCATGAAATGACTAAGAGTTAGATTTTAATTTAGGAAAAAATGTATTTTTAAGGCATTTAAGGCATATTATTTTTATAGAGACCACATACACAGGAAGTGATATGCCATCCTAAAATTAGGTTTGTCTTGCAGTTTTGACCATCTCACATGTAATCTCTGCACAGTGTCTAATTAAGCATTTCAAATCTCTGGACAGATTCAAACTTTCAGAAAAAAAATTTGTCTTTTCTCAACATACTTGCACTAATGTAAATTTCCCAAACATATAGGACAGGCAGAATTTGAGCTCAGATGACTTCTGGAGTTCATTCTTAGAACCACTACACTATGCCACATTTTATCAGGATTAAATATTAAATAGACTGATACTTATGAGAAAGACAAAGCTGTCTCTGGCTACAGAAATACAACACTAGATTTTATTGCTGGAAAGGTTCCAAGGCACATTACTAGCAGGGAAATTTTTGTGCCTGTTGAACTCTTAGCTCTTGTTTTCAGCAGATTGTTTTTCTCTTTCTTAACATTCATGGTGGTTAAAATGCCTGGCAACTTGCCTGAGAAGTTGTTTCCAATATTTCATTGTAAAAAATGAGTTCTGAATAGTGTTGTATAAAACAGCATCACTATTCTAGAGGAACCCGAGATGCCTGTATCATATGAAAGCTGTGTGACTTGATGTCTGTGTCTTCCCGCACAGCACCCTGTCAGTCCTGGGTGCAGCAGGGGGCTACAGTCCTATTTGAACTGAAGTAAGGCATGTAGATGTGTCCTAATGTCCATTGGTAACTCAAGGTCATACCTAAATGAGGATTTTAATCTTTTTAGAAACCCTGTACTCAACTCTCTGGGTAGATAATCTTTTCAGTCATATTAAAGCAGTTATCGATTTATTCCCTTGTAAACTGCCAGAGAACACAGTGAATGAGAAATGGAGCTGCTCATGATTTTGCTTTAAAGTTCAGCTGTCTCGTGACCTTAAACAAATAATTTTCTTCTTAGTATTTTACCTTGATTTTATATGCTGTGTCTTAGACTCACTGCATTAAACTAAGATACTTACATGTAGAGTATAAACTTCCAACATACTGGAAACTCTCTGTTTATAGGATGCAGTTGAGATCTCTGATGTAATAAATGACTCTTCCATGAAAATATATGGTTTTTTTTTTCCACAAAAAAAGACATAATCTCACTTGGCTTGATCTTGCAAGAGCTCATCTGATATTTCTGAGCTTTGATGCAACAAGTA